AATGTAAACAACACTGTATAGAGTGAACGTGTGGAGCTCACACGATAGAGAAAACACCAAGATGAAAAAATCTAATCCATCTCATTTACCGACGAACATTTCTACTAAAGACCGGGCAAAAAGTGGGGGGAAACTATTCTGCACCCCGTGCAACTGTATGTTGGAGCATAAGAGAAAATCGACGGTGCCGACCCACCTTGATTCATTCAAACATTGGAAAATGCTTTCTGCTGCTGTGGACAAGAAAGCCATTCAACTCACGTTCACCGAGTCATCAACCTCCAAAACCCTTTGAGGGCTACAAGAAACGAAGTGAGTAGCCTGCAAGATTGAAGCTGGTCAGATAACGAACGAGTAAATGAAAACAGAATGAGGCGGAGAAGTGTGTGTGTATTTGTTTTTACAATAAATAAACATTGAATGTGTTTAATTGAATAGTAAAGGGGTTTAACGTTAGTGGCAGGTTGTGTGTGAGAGAGAATAAATAAGACAGCCCAATATTTAAAAAAATTGTTATTCTTTTCCCCCGCATATTTAGCATAGTTCGCAACTTTCTGCATATTTCGCAACTTCCCGCAATTTCACCGCATAAAATCACATAAAAACCCCGCATGTTTAATCGCATAATCAAGGATTTTTGCCCGCGTTTTTCTTGAGGGTCTAGCCTACTTATTGCAAGTACAGAGAAATAAGAAATGGTAAATGGACTGTAGCCTACTTATACTGTATAGCGCTTTATCAGGTCTTTACGACCCCTCAAAGCGCTTTTACATAAATCAAGTCATTCACCCTTTCACAAATCATTCATAAAGAGCAGTACCAATTGCTCATCCATGCCATCGTGAGCAACTCAGGGTTAAGTATCTTGCCCAAGGATACGTCGACACGTTGACTGCACGGGAACCGCACAAAAACAACATGCATGTCTTTCTGTTGTATTCATAATTGTATTACCCAGTTCAAGGATTATTAATGTTTTTTTGAATGCTTTAGATAAAAACACTATATAAATGTAGCCAATTTAAAGCACATCAAAGAATAGCTGATCTAAAATGCAAGGCAAGTTTATTATATAGCATATCAAAGCAATTCAAAGTGCTTTGAAATACATTAAGACATAGCGCAAAAGAAACTCATCGTACAATTACATCCAAATCCATTCAAAGATATGAACTGAAAAGCCAAGAGAATACAAACCCAAGGGCCTGAAGATTGGATCCAATATAAAATGGTTGTTGAACCTGAACAGACCCAGAGAGCGAGAACACCAGCAGCAAGATGCACGAAGCACGAAGCATGAAGCACTCAACAAGTAGCAATACATGTCATTTTCCCACACTCAAGTAAAAATACATTTTGGCATGAGACCAACTGCTCTTTTAACTCCCATGTGTTACACCTTGAGCATCATGTATTAGCTCGTGTTAGTTACCTCTATTCATTCTATCTTCATTTCTGGCCTATTCTCTGCCTTTAACCACGCTCCTCTTCCTCTGGATGACGAACATCCTGCCTGCAGCGAGTCACCGCGGCGCTGGTCAAGGGCACCCTTTCAATCCAATAATCAGCCAATTGTGAGGGCTGAGAAATTGAATTAAATGCTGTTTTTATCTGGTTTGCGATTGTGTCTGCTCGCTGTGACATTTCTGCCACAGGGTCACACTGACAGCGAGCGTGGCTCTGTGTCGTGATGCTTGACTAACCGGAGAAGTATTGTGCTGTAGATATATCTCATTATAAAGTGCTGAGGTGTGTTGGATGACTTCACCTTCTGTTCTTGCTCACGACACCCCCAGAGAAACATCATGTTCCCTCACCTGGGTCTCCTTCCTCCGTCCTGTATAATGACCAAAACGTTTCTGCGACATCTGTCTCTGCCTATGGAGGAGTTGGGAGAAATTGAATGGTGTTTACTGCCCGGTTCGTGTGGAGGTGGACTATTTTCCGCCTTCTTTATTAGGCTTGAAGGGGGCTTTAATGCAGGGGAGTCCATATATAACATGTTGGCTAGAGTAAACACTGTACTACTCCAGACACTGTGATATTTCATTTTGTCTGCGGGAAGAGACTCCCGGTCTCCAATTTCATGGTGCATTAAATTGGACACTCAACAAATTGTCTTCTCAAAAGAAAGGCACTAGTGCAGTGTAATGCTGTCTTGGTGTAGTGTCAGGTGATCTGTTGTCTTCGCAGTCTCTAAATAGTTAATTCAACTCCCTGAAAATGTACATTTAGGTCAAAGGAAGGCATTAAACAAACGAGCATGCTTATAGTTATCAATAAATCAAGAAATTAATCTTCCAGCATTTATCTTTGCTTATCAATACAGATTAATTTATAATTGTCTGATCTAACTATACATGTATTTAATGCAGCACTTAACTCTGCAGAGCCTACTAATTACCTAATGTCACCTTTTGCACCTATAGAAAGAGAGCTTTAAGAGAGGTTGATTCCAGTTAGACTACACCGAGGAAGGCATGTGTATCTATCATTTATAATCGGTCACATGCACAGGCCTCACAGTCCATCACCAGAAAAGGGGTGTCCTTGGCTATTGCTGTTCGGCGGCTTTTATACTAACATGTTAATGCACTTTAGTTTGTGCCCTAAAACTATTGAGTCAAAAATATGATCAACACCCGGTAAAAATGTAATGCAGTAAAGTTGACTTAAAGCATATTTTAAATGAGTAAAAATGTAAGGTACTTTAAAAAGACCCTATTGTGCTTTTTGTGGTTTTCCCTTTCCTGAAGTTTTGGTCTGCAAAGAAATGCCTTCATTGGACTCCTTTGTTTACCGCCCTAACATAGTGACATCACTATGTATCAATTCAACAACCATCCAAAATCGAATGGCTTTTTGTTGCGTGAAATAAGGTGATGCTAACTTCTGGGTTGGCCTACAATCTCGGTGCAGCAGCTAGCAAGTTGAAAGGCATTAGTGTTTAATGATGGATGACGGTAAACCTGCATATATCTTGGTCTTCTTATGTGGAGTTCATGACTAAATGCCACTGAAAACAGAAATAAGCCGATAAAAAATCGATATATTGTATACCATCCCTTTCTGTACAGTGACAAAAACGTATGAAGTTCACTACTCCTTGACACACGTATTAATATCTTTCACTCTCATTTGTGTCTCGTGTTTTATCCTCCTTTCTTGTGACCTTTCTTCTCAGTTTCCATGGACTACAAACCTTTAGAAACTCTGCCGTGCTTCATCTTTTTGTGCAATGCGTCCCATTTTTCAACTTTTTATTTCATCTTCATGCAAATGCTTTGGGAGTTCAGGGCTGGAAGGGGCTTGAAATGTAAAAATCTCTCCGTGCCCTTGGGTTGGCCCGGGAAAAACAAAGGCGGGGGTCTGCAGCCTTTGATGCTATTAGCATAATGTCTTTCTGATGCTAATGCTAAGTGCCTCAGACCGACCGCTGAAGCTCGCGACGGCCCACAGCCATGATGGCCGCTGATCGCTCCTCTCACTCGTTCTTGTCTCGATTTAGCTACTTGCCTCTGCTTAGTGATACTCATTCACCTCAATGAAGGTCAAGAGGCGAACCCCCCTCTCCCCCCTGGTCACCATGGAAACACCCCACCCAATCGTCATCACCCACCCTTTCTCTTCCCTATCTGGACAATGGCCTTTGCTCTGTGTGTGTGTGTCTCTGTGTGTCCAAGTGCCGTATGGTAAATGTAAAAAGTGTGTGTGTGTGTGTGTGTGTGTGTGTGTGTGTGGACACTGACAGTAGTTACGTCACACTAATGAGGCTGAGCGTCTCTGTCTTAATGAGATCCTGCTGAGACTGACAGCCTTATTACCACACACTCCTCTGCCTACACACACACACACCATCTACTCCCTCTTTTTAACCTACACGCCGACAATCTGAATTTTACAGACGTTTATATATAGTTGGTAAACATGTCATTCCTTTCTCTGTCTCTCACCAACACTCATTTAGGCACAAACATACGTCTAATTCAGAATTTGCATTGTTGTTTTTGTTGACTGGATGTTTTGTTGTAGCCTGATAATCCCTATCTCTTTTTTAAATGTGGTTTCACTTGGTTATCTAATCTGTCATTGTGGTTGACACGTTGGGTGCTCACTTGCAACAACTTGTAAACAGTAGCTGATTTGATCTCTCTGACACATATATTTGACTAATACTTACATTTTACTTCCTTCTGGCTCTGCGTCAGGAAAACTGATTCCAAATTATCTTTAATGCGAACATATTATGCAAATGTCGAGGTTCATATTTGTATGTAGTGTCTCTACTGTGACATGTCTCCATGCTCTAATGCTCAAAAAGCTCTTTATTCTCCTCACACTGCCTGCCTGTGGTGCTGCACCTCTTTCCACCCTCTGTCTGAAACCAGAGCCCAGTCTGCTCCGATTGGTTAGCTGGCCGGCTCTGTTGTGATTGGTCAACTGCTTAGAGATGTCCCGCCTCTTATGTTTCGGAGCACTAACCAATAGAAGCGAAAGAGTTACATAGTGACATAAGTAAACAAACCCTAACACTCTACAGGAAAGGGAAAACCCCAAAAAGCATTCAAAGGTTTCTTTAAAATATTGATTGGCTTCTTTTTTAAAAGGCAAAAAAGCCGTCAGTTAGCAAAACACCACACTTTTGAATTTGCTGATAGAACAAAACATTATAAAATAATAATAACAAAATACTTCACACTAGCCCTTACGCAGCATCCAAGTACATGTTGACTGCTGAACAGCATTTGTCAATAATGATTTGTTGTCAGTCAAAAAGACGTTTGTAATGCATGAACATGGACTGAGACATGGCTGACCTCTGCTGTTCTTTGTTGGGTTTGGTGCTGCATAGAAATAACCTGTTGCACTCCTTCCCATACCCAGACTTTATTAGTATTACCTCAGCAGCTCGTGCCCTCGACCTGTGTTTTGAACCAGAGTGTGTGAGACTCAGTGAAGATGTCCTCTTGTGTACATGTGTCTTTGTGTCTGCGGTTTAGTGTGTGTTTGAAGCCGCCTCCTCAGCAGACCCCGCTTTGATTGACAGGCGCTCCGTGCACGACCCAGATCCTTTGGTGGGCTGAAACTGATGGAGAGGAGAGGAGGGAGTGAGTGTGTGTGGGAGGATGCTAAGTTAAAACAGTGTGGGAGGTGACTGAGAAACAGAAAAGGGTAGATGCTCGAGGGAAGAGATACAAAAAAAGATGAGACAACTTGAGAGCACTTCCTGTTTCATATTCTATTTGAATCAGTGTTGCCTTCTTATGTTCCTCTTTAACATCAAAAACAGTCTTGTGTGAAAGAGCAGTTTTTTTTGTCTGGTTGAATGTTTTGATGTTAGTCTTACTTTGTATTTCTGTTCTGCTCCCTTTTATTACATCAGGTTTTAAGTTTAAAAAGCAGGCATGACAGCGCTTCAGATTTTTAAAACCCCATTTTACTGTAAAAATCAAGCAACAGATCAGTCGGTAAAAGAAGATCTGAAGACTTCACAGAGAAAAAGTGGGACAAGGCAAGATGAGCCCAGCATTTTAGTTATTTTAAGCCTCTTAACTCGAGGAGTCTGGGAACATGTACAGCCTTACGGCCCTTCCACACAGCAGCGTTAAAAAGATCTTGGAGGTGGGCGTGTCTGAAAGCTTGGGGATTTTTTGCGAGCAACGCGACCAACAACCAATCACATGAATCTCCCGCCCCGACATACAGTACAAAGCAATAGCAATGTTAAAACGAAGTAAACTGGATATAAAATCCCCAAACAGGCGAAAACCTACCAGTTTCACCCACTGTCTCTGCCACCTCCCTCCATGCCTGGTTCCTCCGGGTTGTATCCCGGTAAATAGTTCTGGTCGTAAAGAACCGGGTGATTTGCTACCGTAATTTCTCGTTTGGAATATGAGGAAATGAACTGCGGTATGTCTCTCCCAGCTTACACGCGGTTTGATTGGCTAGCGCTTGCACTGTCAGATTTGCATAAACGGGATTTGATTGGCTGACGCTTCCAGCTCAGCTTCAAAAGTTGAACATTGCTCAATTTTTGAATCCTGGAAATCTTCGCTTTGCTTCCCCACAATGCAGTTCGGCGAAAAGCGAGGCAAAGTGACGTCACCCCATTCAAAGTGAATGGGCAGAGAAGCGTTGGAAGATTTTTTTTAAAGCTGCTGTGTGGACGGGCCGTTACAGAGGCATGTGGACAGAGTGATAGGGAGCAGGATGTTTGTAGGAAAATACCAGATGTGTCAAACGACAATTATCTCAATTTATGATTGAATATAACACACAGGACTTTGTGTGGTTTGTATTGTTATTGGTCTGGAAAACTTACATTTTATAAAATAATGTTGTCATATTAGTAAGATAATAATGGTTAACAAAAAGTAAACCACTTATATAAAAAGAAAACAAAAGACATAAATTAAACTCATTAGTTGATAAGCCTTGGAAAAAAACATACAACCATCAATCACAATTTTCTTTTTGCAATTTTTGACTTTACATAATACTCTCTTTTCCCCGAGGTAATCATTATTTGATTTGTATTTAATGTTTTAACAGTTAATTGTTAATGGTATTTGCTACAGTGTTCTAACTCCTACTTTGTTGTATCGCATTAACTCACTTTCTCCACTGCTTATGAATTATTCTGTACATGAACAGAAGTGTATTGACTTCCAATCTGAATCCAAAGAGAGACTAGATGTCTGTCCTCGGGTGAAATAGCTTCACCCCTGAAAAATAAGTAAACTTGGTTTGAACTTTTTATAGATCCCAAGTTTCTCCAACCAAGGTCACAGGCAATCGACATCTTGAATATAAATACATCTTTAAAAATGAGCTCCATGTGGCTCAGGGCTGGTTATACTCCCTCTCTGCAAGGAATGGACTAACCATAGTAGAACTTATAATAATGGCATTCAGCACAGTGCTCTGGTTTTCTGCTGCTCATATAAATAAGCAGCTCAGATTTCTTTCTTTTTCTTGGTTCACCTCCTAGTTGAACATGCGTTAGGTTGACTTTTAAAATCTGTCCAGGGACTACAGATGAAAAATAGCCTCTTGGCTAACTCTGGCACATTTACAGAAATGTTCATTAATGTGCACTGTCCCTGTTCAATAAATGAATAAATAAAATAAAAATGCCCTGAAAAACCTCCTGTAAGATGTCTCCTCTTCAAGTACCGATGGTTTTTCACTGATCTCTTTGGGATTTCTGCGCGCCTCGCTATTAACCTGGTATTGAACCCAGAGTCTGTGAAGTAAAAACATTTGTGGCCACTTGTGTCGGCTTCCAAGAGCTGTAATCAGGTCTGAACCGTTATTGCTTCCCCTGAGCGAGGCTCTGCACAGACGCTCTCTTACAGCTTCCTGGTACAAGCTTCTTTTTCTTCTGTGTATTAACCCTAAAGGAAATAAAATTCAACACATGCTGTGGTCGGGGACAAAAAACAGTAGTAGACTTTTTCTTCAAGAAGATTTGGTATTGATTCTCGATGATTAGCCAGACTGAGGAGAAGAGTTCTGCAAACAGCCATGGTGAGCAAGGTGCCATGCTGCTTTTCTTTGAGCTAGCAGACTTATCTCATCCAATATTTCACCAACCAAGTATGCTCATTTGGCGTGGAGCAGAGGACTGGTGACCTGCCGGATGCCGCTCAGGATGATCAAATATACAAGCATTCATCTAAGCCTGCAGGTTATTTAGGCTCGTGTTTGGATCAGGGGGATTATTTAGTGCTTTTGTGCTGCTGATGTTGGATACACTCTGCATAAAAGATGTAAACATGACAGTGATGTGAGTCCTTGAAAACCTTACATAACACACACACACACACTCTTAAATTGCCGACATAAGTGTATCAGGAACTGTTTGATTAGGCTCTCCTAAATGATTTGAGCTCACCAAATGTACGTATTTACATATCAGCTTTGAGCAGATTTAAACTTGTATCAAAAATATTGACTAGCTGTCTCTCACCGTCTCCTTCATGCTCCTTGACTACCTGTAATTTTCTGAGTGAATATACAAACTCAGAGAATCACAAACATGAACACATACTCACAATCTGCCCTCAGTAATGACTCCAAGGTTGTTTGTGAGGTTTGAATAATTCATTGCTTATTTCGTCTTCCTCGTTCCCCGTGTTTGCGCATCACTCCATTCTGCCTTCAGGCATGTTAATCACACACAGAGAGGGAGATCTTTAGGTAGTAAACAAAGCATCAGATATCAAATATGATCATAAAGAGATGTTACATCTAGTCTTTGAGAACTATTATGTTAATATTAATCTCATTTATGTCAATTTTTTAGAAACAACTAGAAATCTGAAATCACAATTGCGCGAGAGGCTGCGAGATTAATGCTATTAATAAAAACAATTCAATATCTACTATTTTGAAATGGGCTGTTGTGCATAATGAGTGCTTTCACCTTCGGTATTTTAGGTATATTTTGATGCCAATACTTTATAGGCAAGGCTAGGCAAGTTTATTTTATACAGCACTTTTCAACACAAGGCAATTCAAAGTGCTTTACAAAAAATGAAAGACATTAAGAAAATGGCATTTAAAATCAGTCATTAAAAAGAAAAGTCTTCAGCCTGGATTTAAAAGTAGTAAGAGTTGCAGCGGACCTGCAGGTTTCTGGGAGTTTGTTCCAGATATTTGGAGTATACTGTATAACTGGTAATTATACTTGAGTACATTGTTTTATGCAGAGTAGTTTTTGTTTGCATTCGCCAACCAACAACAATGTCTTTTAACTGCCATTCACTAAGCCAAAATTATCATAAAACGTTAGTATTGACAGTTATAATGATAATGATAATGAACTGTTATAATGATACTCAATAACACATCTCATATGCTAAACATTATTTTCTTTGCTAACACTCTCCATAAATCTTTTATAGGTCAGTGAAATTGCCTCTGAAATTGACCAAAGTGTCATCAAAGAGTTGGATCAACTGGGTTCTAACTCCCTTGGGGAATTTTTTTTTATTTGATAGTCTGATCAGAAACAGTGTTGGCTGTGTGCCTTCCTCTCTACGGGGCGTCCGGCAAATTCGGACAGCCATGAAAGCTGAGTAAACTTTCATCAGGACGTTTGGGGACATGGAAATGTGAGCACACCAGGGACACAGTAAACAAAAACTGGAAATGAGATGTGAGACCGCTGCCAATATATTGTTTTTGTCGTAACTACCCAGGGTTTGGATAGATGCTTTTGAAGCCATATGTCGCCCTCTGCCAATGACTTTCAGGCAAATATGAAGAAACAATAATGCACTTTAACTTTCTCTCTTTTTCTGTCTCTCGCTGGTTCCTCCTCTCTGCATATTTAACCCTTTCTTCTCTTTCCTCTCTCCAGATCACACCTCAGTTGGAGGACTTGGGGACAGTTTCTACGAGTACCTGCTGAAGGCATGGCTCATGTCCGACAAGACCGACACAGAAGCCCGCAAAACCTACGATGAAGCCATTGAGGTACATTGAAGAGATGTGTGTGTGTGTGTGTTATGTTTTACAATTATTTCTACAGAACAAAGAGACACATTGTGCATAATCTCAGGAAAACAAAAATAATTTATTTATATATTTTAAGAAACTCATCACTTTCTTTGCGCAGCTCAACACCATTTGCATCCTTTTATTCTTGCAGCACTGCATATAAAAAAAAACTTCAAAACACTCAGAACGCAGAAAGAGGGTGAAGACAAACTCATTATTTAATTACCTTTCACTCAGCTTCCTATCAGAACGCCACAGGGAGAAATAAACTGTCCTTCGGGAAATGATTCCACACACACATATAGTATGTTTGTATGCAGCACTTTGGATATGAAGGTCAACATCTAATTTCACGCTCAATGCATAGTTTTTTGAAATATATATTCAGATTGTATCGTGCCAAGGGAGTATTTGTTTTAACAGCTGCTGCACAACAGATGTACACTTATCAAAACAGCAACTGAACATACAGATAGTAACAGATATACATATGGCAACAGACAGATATAAAGAGGACAGACATTTTTCATTTTTATTAGAAGGACAAAAAGATTTTAAAGCCATCAAACCAGGCCCAGCTGTTGTCTGCATAGACTCACATGTGTAGCTCCAGATACAATTCTGACACCTTTTTAAGCAAGAAAAGCAGCCACTATGACTTCTATGTTTTACCAGTTATCCTTTTTTAAATGACCGACATTGATTTAAGAACATTTAATTCACTCCCTCCTCATAGTGATCGGAGCCCATCACGACAAAAGACAGATGCTTTTGTTTTTCAAGTAAAGTGAGAGTGGATTTAGCAGAGGGCAGATGTTGTGTGTCGGCTGAAGATGTGTCTGTCAATCATTAAATCTGTCACCGAGCGAGCAGAGCAGATGCTGCAGAGCGAGGGCTGAGAGATGTCTGTATTTCAAATTCTACACTCACCATTGTGTCCTGTTCGACCCCCCCCCAACACCCACATACACCTGCTCTCAATGCCAATGCCTCATTCACACAACTTTACCCAATTGAAACATTCACACGCACACGCACACGCACACGCACACACACACACACACACATTCCTTTAATATTGCATTGATAACCTTCATCCACATTCCAACTATAATAAAAACTGTCTATCACTTTTTGACCATAATTATTAATTTGTCATCCTGATATTTTAATCACTACATGCATATAATTACACACACACACTGTATGGACATTATAATCCACGTCTGTCCACATTTTCCCCTAATTTGTACTGCTTCATTCAACGTTTTCTGACCTTATCAGCCCAAAAGTCCACGCTCTAACTGCATAACTTCTTGCATTAATGTACATTCCCAAAGATATTGAAGTGACTGTTATTTTGTATATATTGATTTTGGGGTTTTTATCTTAATGTGTGCATATGTATAAATGTGTCTGTTGATTGTGTATACAGTATATAGGATTATACATATGTTTATACATATTTGTATTCTGGATGGTGGGAAACGGTATTTCTATCTCTCTGTCTGTACACACAAACTGAAAGATTGACAATAAAGTTGACTTTGACTCAAATCCACACTCTAACTGCATAACTCTCCTTCTATCTCGTTCACACACACTCTTTTCCTGAAGGCTATCGAGCGGCACCTGATACGCAAATCCAACGGCGGTCTGACGTTTATCGGCGAGTGGAAGAACGGCCACCTGGAGAGGAAGATGGGGCACCTGGCGTGCTTTGCCGGCGGCATGTTTGCTTTGGGCGCCGACGGCTCGCCTGACGATAAAGCCGGACACTACCTGCAGCTCGGAGCCGAGATCGCTCACACCTGCCACGAGTCCTACGACCGGACAGGTGAGGAACACACACGTACTCTTAATATGAATACAACTGCCATGTCAGCAAAGTAAAGATTTGTGTCTAGAGCAGTGTTTCTCAAACTGTTTCATACCAAGGACCACTTAACCAATAAAAAAACACTCGCGGAAATATTCCTGCGAGAGTGCGGAAAACTTAAATGTATTTTACCAATATACTCACGGACCACTAGGGGGCACCAGGACCACACTTTGAGAAGCACTGGTCTAGACCAGGGGTTCCCAACCTTTATTGTGCCAAGGACCGGCAGATACATTAAAAAAAAATCGCGGACCGGTTGTCAATTTTAACTGATTTGAATATTTACTCACCAGCAGGTGGCAACAGAGGCAAATTCTATTAACAGCCTGAAGAAATACCAATATGCATCCAAAACATATTAACAACGTTTAAAACCAGGATACAATTAAAACAACAAATTTGGACCGCTTTACAAATATTAATATAATATTTAATATAATATAGCCTAATATAGGTGGCAACAGTGCCAGTAGCCTGAACAAATAATAGAACAATATGCATCCAAAACATATTAACATAGTTTAAAACCAGGATACAATTAAAACAAATTAGGACCACTGTACACATATTGATATAACTGAAATGTCAGTGAGACCCCTGGGCTTGTTTGCCAGCCATAACGTCATACCGGGGCGTTCGTTCCGGTGCACTCCGAAAGCATTTAGCACTACATCGAGATTAAGATTAAATTTATTTTGGGAACACCCACATACCTATGGAGTTGGCCAGATGTGTGTAAATTACTGTTCATAGTATTTGAAAACAAATGCCGTTGTTGGACACACACAAACACACCGAACATACACACACACAGCGGAGCTGAGCAGAGCACAACACACACATCATGCGCCTTTGTGACCGGACATTTCCTTCATACAACGAGTAATAGGGGGAATAATCCGGCCGTTCGATGTGTGTGTGTGTAGAGGTGTGTGTGGTTGAAACGTAGCAGCCTGCAGTGGGGAACACAGTGAAGGCGGTGTGTACGCGCTGGTGCTGCACTTCTCAGAGGCTGCCTCCTGATGCTGCAGCCATTTCATGAAGTGAAAGAGGCTTTACAAATAAAAAAATAGCTCTACACCCCTGGCCGCAATGTCCTTAAAATGAAGTCCGAGTTCGAAATATATCTAAAATAATGTATGTACTGCCATTCCCCCACAAACATAACAGTCTGCGATTAAACGGTTGTCTCCTGTTTGCTCCACTTCCTATTGGCGCACCACCTGTAACTTTCTCTGCGCACGAGAGGCTGAGACCTTATGCTAACCAATTTTGATTTATTGTGTATGTTTTGGATGAAATAATATGACTGGTATAAAATAAAATTAAAATAAATTGAATTTTTTTGATAAAATATTTTTATATATTTATAATTCTGCAAATATTACGATAAACTCACAGCTATTTTGTGGCCCGGCAGTAACACCTCCGCGGCCCGGTACCGTTCCGCGGACCGGGGGTTGGGGACCCCTGGTATAGGCAGTATGTTTGAATTGATAGAACTGGTACTTTAACAAGATGCTGGAGATGATTTAGTCCAAGTACAAGTTGACCCGATGTCTTACAGATCCTAACAATCTTACCTTAGACTTACTTCATAATCTGAACATCCTGATCTTTCTTTGCCCCAGAAAGCTTCCTGTCCAATATATCCTTAAATCTGACAATCTCTGTATGTTGCAACTTAAAGTTATCCAGTTGTAGTTTTTAACAAGTAGTACACATATTGTACCTGTAGGGCATGCAGGTGAGGCGATAGACAGTCCTGCCAATGTGTTGCAATATTCCATTGATTGACAGGTACAAAAACGAGATGAATGTAATAAATGCACTTCAATATAGTTGTATGATTGTAGGAAATGCATGTTGGTTTTACCTCAAGGATACAGACATTTAGTTGAGCAACACTGAATGTAAATAGAAACTTTGTTTTCCAACTAACTGCACAGAGACCCTTTAACTAGAGATAAAATGTTGTCTCTTTTTCTAAGTAATTACGCGGTCTAGTTTCATACTGCAGCTGGGTCCTTCTGTTTGGTGCTGACAGGTATGTAACCCTGCAGAAGTCCTTTGTTGCTTTATCTCTCCGCCATGGTTTAATAAGGAGTCTCAAATATTTGTTTTCACATCACCATCGTATCAACCGAGCTGTCATCTGTCCTGCTAGCTTGAATGTTTCGCCATTGGCCTTTGCCCTCTCCGACAGCAAGTAACTTCTGCTGTCAGTAACTGACTGCATACTTTAGAACAATACATGATTGAAAATGTATATCCCCCTCCTTCCCCTCTGTGCAGTAACTGATCTGATGCAGGTATAGAGCACGGTGCTGCATTAATTTGCATATTAACAGGATAAAATGCCAAGACATTCGTTCCCACAATAACTCAAGAGCTATACATGACATAAACATCATATAGAGAGGATGATCTGATTACCTTCTGGATCAGCTTGTGCATACATTTGCATTTTGATGAAGATAGAAATGGCAGCACATGAGGTAATTTAGCTGCAGTTTGTTTCTTAACTGTGTTAGTGTCAAAAAGCCATACAGCTGGTTTGTGAAATGTCACATATCTGATTCAATGTTTTAATTAAACAACTAATGAAGCTCCCAGTCCTGTCTTAAGCGTGAATATTTCCCTTTGTGCCTTTTAGAGATTGGAACCACATAAGTAAACAGTCAGATGTACAATAGCATGCAAATGTATTGGAGAGATATTATGGAAATCATTCTGTTGAAGGTTATTTTGTGATGTCTGTCACCTGTTGTGAGAAACTGAGAACAACTCTTAACTGAACAGAAGGAACACATGACAAACAGATGGAAGCATTCAGCTGAATCTCTGTTTTAGTATTTATTACATTGAGAAACTGACAGTTGATTTAGTCAGACAGTGTTTTCAAATTTCGTCATAGAAGGCAGATGCTGATATCTGCTGCTGTGAGATTTCTGATATAATCTTGCTTACAGAGCTGGATCGATTGGGTTAATCATGCTCTGGGTGGGCCAGCAGCTCTGACAGAAGCCTCTGCTGTATGTAGAGCACAGTTGGGTGGTGTAGTAGAGGAGGGCCCATAGGAGCTGTCATAGTTCTGCATAATGTAGGTTAAAGCTGCTGTCAGAAGCAATGCAGGCCACGACCACACACACTCTTTTGACCAGGAAGGTTTAACATTTGCATAGTAAGCAGAAAATCCTGAAACTAAGTTGTGTCAAACTTTGCTTTACACCACAGACCCAGATTTGTTTGTGCTTTGAGTAAAACTGTATGCGTCCTCCCACAAATATATGAGTCTTCATCCATGACTTTTTCCCATTTCTCTCATCAGAAACTGGCTCTGCGATCACCTCCTCGTGCATCGGTCTGGGAAACTCTCTCACGCCACCTGCAGGTCAGGCTGGAAAACCAGTTCCAGGTTACAATGGTAAGAGTCAGAATCCACATCTCATCTACATTCTACATTTAACATACTGGTCATGATTTTAAAGTCAGAATTGCTTCCCCTTAATAACAAGTAACGGATAAACTAAACTGAAATGGATACAATTAGAAAAACCGCTTGTCATTCTCTGCAGATCATTTAATATTTCTGCCTCTCCAGTGGGTGATACACCTCCTCTGAATATGAATTGCATGCCTTTTCATTTCCACTAGTCACAGTGATCGATGATGACATGCAGGAGGTGAAGCCAAGAACCCTGGGAAATATTGTGGTGGGGTAAGCCGAGTGAATTTGCTCAGCAGCTTAGTCACTGCTTTACCTTTCACACGCAAACACTTTTGAAATGTGACATCAAAGCATTTTGCATGCCCTTATCAAATGTAAACTCCAATCTTTTACTCATGAATCTAAATAATTCACTGTCAGGCAGCTTGTATCTGACTCCAAATAAACTGTTGCCAGGCTAAAGAATGAAAGGTGTTTGTCTGGTTATGTAAAAGAGCTGCCTGTGCAAATTAGACCTGATCAAAAGCTCTAGCTGCAGGCCCTTAGCCCTTTGTGCTACCTACCTGTTATCACTCTCCAGCTCCATTTCCCTGTTATTGGTAACCGCTGGTATTGACTCACTGCCAACACAGGGGATTTCCAAGCAGTTCACATGTGCAATGCATACAGAGATAAGCACAGGTAGAGCTGGAAACAGTAACTGCTGTGTTACTGTATGGCAAATCATATTAAATATTTACACAGTGAGGTTGTTGCAATGTGCCTTTGAAGCTTGAGTGTCAAGTCAAAATGTGTTTTAATTAGTTCTTTAATTATATAATGTTGCTTTGTTTAGCTTGTGTGCGTAGGAAGCACTCAGCAGTGACTCATCAAATGAAAAGCAGGCAGCAAAACTCCAACATTAGTTTATAAGTTTATGATGCTAAATATTCATACAAGAGTTTGACTGCCTTCGTAAACATACTGTAGGATAGGGTCGCTTTTAAAAAAAATCCTCTTTAAGCAGCAAATGGACACAGGAAATAAGATCTTCGCTGTGATTTCATATTGTCCTTGCAGAGGCATGAGAGTTCCAACATGGGAAATGGGATCATCTTGGTCAAGAAGGGGGATTTTTGCTAGTCTCTCAATAAACAAAGACTGAGTAACCTATCTCTATTAATTCACCATGAGTGTGTGTTTGTGTGCCATGTATAAGTGTGTGTCAGGCAAGGGGAAGCCTAGTATAGACTATCTGTATCCCTGGACAATTATCTATTCTTTTTTTGGGTAAAATCTAAGCTCTTTATGCAAACATTCAAGTAGATAGTCATTTTAATAAAGTAAGTGATGCTTAGTGTCAAGCTACAAGTAATGTATAAGTCTTGCATGCCTGCCTTTGTTATTGTGTGAATGTCATGGCACAAGCAATACATTAAAAAGGAATTGAAACCCCTTTTTCCTCCAGACTACCTTTACCACCCGGTGCAGCATTGTCCCTGTGGCAGAACCATGATCTGTTCAAGGAGCTCTACTTCACTAAGTTCCCGGTATGACAATAATTAAATTCCTTAAATAGTGATGTTTATTGTTCATTGGATAATGTGCGTCTCATTTGATTTGGAACAATGGTGTTTGAAGTTCTGTTCAATCCCTTTATCTACAACACTGAAATACTAATGCAGTAGAGTGGGTTGTGGTCAGTTGTGGAAGAAGGGGGCCCTCTAGTGTTCAAATGTTTTATAAAAGGGTCGTGTGACTTTTCCCCCATAGAAAGACCTCATAAATTCAAATTGATTAAGATTTGTTGTGGTTTGGTGAAATTGTATCTAATGACCTGCTCCAAAACCGACGTAATCCTGAAGAGAAATGTCAACATTCCTTTTTTTTATTTTTTTGTTTGTGTACCTCCGCCATGGATGATATTAGTACGCTATAACAATTTAATGTTTTTTAATGTTATGAGGTTTTCAAGAAGAAAATCACATCGTTTTTCCTGATATTTCCTACACATATATACTTTGTTGATTTTCTGAAATGTTAAATACTATTTTATTTTTCTGATATTTTCAACATATTCTATGTATAATGTATTTTTTTCGACATACCTTACTATGTCATTTTTTCTTGAATTTTTCTCACATTTTCGACAAACTTCTTAATGACATGAAATTAGACATACTATATTATGTATTTATTTTTTATATAACCTTTGTCGTATTTTCTCAAATGTTTCGATATACATTACTCTGTTGTTTTTTCTGATATTTGTACCATACTAAAAAAAATGTTTACCCTGATTATATCACTATATCATTTCTCACAGTTTTCACCTTTCTATCTTGCATTTATCTTATTCATATCTGTCCCACCATCAGGGTTACTATGACACCATGGATGCAGGCTATGTAGATGAGGAGGGTTTCCTTTACATCATGTCCCGGTCTGATGATGTCATCAACGTAGCTGGCCACAGGCTATCAGCTGGAGCATTGGAGGAGGTAGGAGAAAGCTTACTGAGGAGGCAACACAAATATTTTCTATTGTAGTATTTTAATATATATGTGTATGTTTTTCAGTCAGTGCTGCAGCACCCTGCGGTGGGGGACTGCGCTGTGGTGGGTCTGGAGGACCCTCTGAAGGGTGTCGTTCCACTGGCCCTGTGTGTACTCAAGAACGGTGAGGCATGACAGATGTAACGTATAGAAATACATGAAGTAGTACCTGAATTTGATCACATATGTTTATTTCTTTATTTTGGTAATACAGTACCACACTTTTTACCTTCATAATCTACAATCCTGGCAACAAAATAAAACATATCTGAATTGAAATCCTAGGTTATCACTCCATGGGCTGTTTGTTTCAGGTGTGCAGAAAAATAAGGAGGAGATCGTAGCTGAGATGGTGAAGCTGGTGAGAGACACCATCGGACCAGTGGCCGCCTTCAAGAAAGTGCTCTTTGTCCGAGGATTGCCGAAGACGCGCTCTGGAAAGATCCCTCGCTCCTCTTTAGCCAACCTGGTCAATGGCAAGCCGTACAAGGTATGACAATCCTCAAAGAAACATTCTGTGCTTTATTCTCCATCACTAATAGTTTTGAAAGTTAATTACAGTCGGAGAACAAAACTGAGGGGATCTTTTAATGGTTCATCTTTCTTCTCTTGTTTTCGTCCCGTGTGTAGAGTTTCACAGCTGCTCAGGGGACAGCAGTTTATTCTAATAATTCTGAATTTGAGTAATGATGGTGCAATAGCAGGTGCTGAACTCATTAAGTAGAGCTGAGGGCTCGTTTGGGATTTCTCCTCATACAGTAGTTACCATCTCAGTTTTTGCTGATAAGTTGCTCAAGAGAGAAGTGGATGACACACTAAGAAATTAGTTCGTAGTTGTTTACAGATGTAAACGCAAGGTTTCTTTGGCAACAATCCAACCTACCTTGTCTGAAAAATGTCACATTTTCCAACAGATCACTCCAACAATCGAGGACCCAGGAGTGTTCAAAGATATCGAGAGTCAGTTAGAAAAATGGCTGAAACCTCGCGGAGCCTGAACTCATCTTTTAATGTACTGTAAGTTTTACCATCTAAACCTTAGATAAATGTGCCAACTCCATGAAGAACTTGAAACCGTACTGCCTTAGGTTTCCATAATTAACAAGTAGAGACACTATGGCAACTGTTTGTACAAATTAATAAACTCACTGACAGTAGTTTTTCTTTTATTGACAATGAAAATTTGCTTGCTCACCACTTAGTTTTGACAAAGTACAAGAAGTAATAAATAAAAAAGAATGGACACAAAATAAAATGATTCATCGTTCGTGCAAATTGAAGATGTAAAAAAACAAATCAAAAGCGTGAGACTTTTTGTTCCGAGTGGTCCATCAGAGATAACTAAAAGACAGAAAACAGGGCCGTACAATAGGTTGCCCTGAGAACTCTGACAGAAACAAAGAGTCAACAGTTACACCGATGTAAGTCACAGCAAGCAACAGTCATATACACTCTACGCACACTATGAGCTAAAGCAGTCTGTCTTTCAGTTATTTCCTATGTTAACGTAATGTCTGAGGGGAGGGGGGGGGGAGAAGGCCAGAGTGTGTTAATGTATCGCCCGACAAAACATACAGTACAACAAGTGACAGGTTCTATGAATGACGTCCTGCTTTTCTCTTTTGTTCTCTGAGATGAAGTTTTGTGCAACTTCGGAGCTCTTGTTTTTTCCTTGGCTACTAAAAGTCTGTTGAGTTGATGCGGTTGTATCAAAGTGCTTGTCATGTTCTCTTAAAATGCTCCTTTTTATGACAGCAAGTGCATAAAAAGCAGAGTGAAGTGTTGTTGGTGTCAGAAATGGGGCTCAGAGTGGTTTTTGTGCACCACTAGAGGGCAGGTTTTCACATCCATCCTCTCAATGTTTCATCATCAGCAGCACAATGAAAAAATAAAACCATATGTACAAAATGATCTAAGAGGGCGGGGTAATATGAACACATTTAAAAGAGCAGCATATATTAATCTATGGTCCACTAAATGAGGTGGCAGGGACGTTTTTTTGCACAAACTCTGAATATCTTTTTTTATACATAGATGTGTGTATATATATATTTAAAAAATGGCATTTATTTACAGATAACCTACACATCTCCTGTAGAAGAAATACACAGTACGTTATGCTTCGACAAGTTACTGTACATGTAAAAGGTAGAAACGGTGACAACGGAGCAGCCTGCGGGACAGTTTAGCACCGGCATCTGGTGCCCACGTTATAGGGAGGGGGAGGGGGCGGGGAAGACAGAGAGGGGAGCAGGGCTTCTTGGCAGTGCGTGTCGTCAGAGAGTTTGTTCCTCGGCATGTTGGCCCGTCCAGCAGCTCCACTGGTTCACCTCCGATCAGAACTGTACCTGAGGGGGGGACAGTGTGGAGTTTTCAACGAGGTTCTGGTGAGTTGGTGTGATTTAAAAAGAAAATCCTAAATTATACCATTCCAAGAATCCGATTTGAAATCTGTATTATGTCAATTAAGTGTCCTGTTATTGTAGCTCATTATGGCGTATAGCTTAGAAGGTAATTCGATTGTAAATTGAAGTAAGATATTAAAATGCTACTATATTTTTTGAGCAGTATGGAATGTGAGTTTTGACTCGTTTCTGTATGAAATACTATACTTTTTAATGTCATTTTTTTAGCAAACTATACTATGACATTTATTTACTTTAAAATATTTTTTCTAGACATCATTTGGGGATTTGTTCCACATACTTTGCTAGAACTTTATTATTAAACATTATCTTTTATGACAAACGATACAATGATCAGTTTATTAAAAATGTTATGACTTTCAATTATGTGTTTCAACATACTACTATTACAGCTTTGAAGGTGACTTTGGAAGCACTAGCATTAGCAACATATTGTAATTCTCAACAGTGAGTGCTAAGTAACCTCTGAAGGAACTGTGATTTTCTAAACTTTTAAGTAAATACTGTATGAATGTTTTGCAAACAATCTTAAAAAGTGTACGAAATGAAGGAAGTGAGGAAATCATACTAGAATATGTTTTATGGGGCCTCTATTCAAATGTTGCACTGAACAATATAAATATTTCCAGGCTGACTGGTAAAAATTCCTGTGTGCAGAAAGAAGAATCAGTTTTTGTTTTCTACGCACGTGTTCTCTACCAGAACTACGCCCTTTGCTCTCACTAATCGTTGCACTATATGGTCTCTTTTTTGCTTTGTGGGAGTAGTTAAGCTGATGAAATCCTTAGAAACAGCCCGCAGGGTGCTTCAAGGAATGAGCAAATTCTCCAGGAACTAAACAAAAAACTGTCATGAATATGTAACTCACACAAACTCTCCCTGCCTGTGCTTTCACATTTTATCTCTACCCTTAGCTGTTGTGTTATTTATTGTCCTAACACTCCTGTCTCATACAATAACCCTGCAGTCAAAGCACTATATCATTATTATACGATGATACTAAAAAGTTGTATTGTTGAGATGGGAGCTAAGCTAACCCAGCTAGGACCTGAGGCCAGGTACCCACTACCCAGCATGCTCCTGGCTGGAGTTTGGGAGGTCACTTCTTCACACAGAGATTTCTCCATTGCGGCATTCTGGATCAAGAGGGAGGAGCACAGGGCTCCAGTGAGGCGGCGGTCTCTAATGAGGCGGGCTCTAATGAAAAGTGATTGACAACGTTGCCATGGAGTCAGGCTTTCCTGTTAAAGACGACAGCCATATTCTGCCCGGGGAATTCCCAATTGTTTTTTGATAGCGTCTACGTATGTTATTTTTCATGGAAGTGTATCATATTTTTGATGGGACTCTATATCTTATGACATTTCTGGAATACTATCTTGCTATTCCATCAGTAGCTTTCTACATGTTGTCATTGCTAACATGCTTGTTGGGTGGCTAAACTTTAAAAAAGCTATTCTTTACCTAATTTACACTTATCAGAAAGGGCACAGCATCTCTATTGACTGCTCACTTTAGAGTACAATGAGCCAGTGAATGAGGGGGGAGGCAGGTGTTGAACATAGCTTATGTTCCCTTTTGCATCAGGTTGTCACTACAGATGCAGAGAGACAGCAGAGTCAGATAGTGCAGCAAATTAAAGCAAATACCTGCGTGAGATGTCACATTTCCACTGCACCTGGCTGTACAAAGTGGACCATTACAAATGAATCTAGGGCAAGCTCCCTTTGTAATGTGAAAAGTCTGGATAAATCTCACTGGGCCTATTTTTAGGAGACTGAACTCATAACCTTTGTTAACGAGTCTCTGTGTAAGGTACCGAAGGAACGGCATGGATTTGAAGCAGATCTAAAGCTTGGGCCGTGACTGACTCATCTTTTTTGGACAGGCATCAGAAAAGGACCGCTGCTAGCCGAGCTGCTATCACGGCTGGTGACGCTGGTGCTATGATTTTGCCAGGGAGCCGTGATGAGGTCTTATCTTTGGGAAACAATTGGCCTTCTTCTCTTTCATCTAGTACTTCTGAGGAGAGCATTTAACAGAGCGAGAGTCTGTGTTGTGTTACATACAGCGTACAGTTTAGGGGCCTCTCTTCCTCCTCTCAGCAGGAGTAGGTTCTCACCGTGGAGGTGTCCATCCGCTGCACCGTGGCCGATCCCACTGTGGGGGGGGGGGGGAGAAAACGCTTTGAGTCTACATGTTAGAGCATACTCCTTATACAGTGGTGGTGCAGGAATGAGTCAAAACTGGGATTGAGTCAGCATTTGACCACTTCTGGAATCCCTTGCCTCAAATTCAACATTTTTGGAATGTGAATTTGGTTAGATGTCTTAAGTAAGATCTGTGGTTAACACAAGCTTAAATACATCAGTAAATAACTCACCCGTGAATGTCAACGCCTCCATGTGTCATGGCGGTTGCTACTGTTACAAGTGGCTAAATGAAACTAAACCTCATCACGTTGAACATTAGCCGCCTTTAGCTTAGCATAGTGTGGTTTATAGCCTAATGATAGCTTATAAAGTGGTGTTCATTTGGGAAGTTTATCCTGATGATCAGCATGTGTAAGGATCATAAGCGTGTGTTTGCCACAGATCTTATTTTTTGAAGGATTCGGAAATTAAATGAACAATTGAAATGTTTTCAAACGTCATCACTGCACCACTCTAAAGATTGAGAGAGGAGGAAACATTCCTCCACTAGACCACCACCCTCAAAGGCACCTTTCTCACACATTGAGACCACTTGTTGTATCGCCCTCAGAGGAGGAGGCCCTGTATCACGCACTCAAAGAAAGGGGGTCTTCATTTTGAGTGGATAACAGCAGCAACAAGACTTTGAGTGTTTTGTGGACGTGACAGACCGGGGAGCACAGAGATAGAGACTGGGGGACAGGG